AACCTGGCGTACAAGCTCAGGCGAGGCGAGACACATCGCGCAGTCGGTGTCCAGCAGAGCCGAGACCTGAGAGGCGGGGGCGCCAACACAAACGTCAACCGCAGCCACCTGGCGGTAGGGCCGATCGGGGGGCGTCGGCCCAGCCACGCACGAGCCCACGCCAGCTTCAGTAGCAGCTTCAGCAGCGTCAGCAGCGACTATGCACGGCCCGGGGAGCCGCCAGTCGCGCAGGTCAGCTGACGCGGCACCGCGGCGGGCGCGCCGGTGATTCTTGACGAACCAGCGCAAAGGCAGAGCCGGCTTGTGTGCCAGCAGCGCACCGCTCGCTGACGAAACAGGCGAAAGGCCGGATGATGCCCGGCGGCCGCGGCCTGGTGACCCCGAGGGCGCTCGCGGAGGGCGCGAATGCACCGCAGGGCGTCGATGTTGCTCAGCCTGGCCGGGAGGGCACGGCGGGGCAGGTGACGAAGGGCACCACGGAGCAGTCCAGGGAGGGTACGGCGCAGCTATCCAGGGCGGGCACCACGGAGCAGGCCAGGGAGGGTACGGTGCAGCTGTCCAGGGCGGGCACCACGGAGCAGGCCATGGAGGGCACGGCGGGGCAGGCGATGACGGGCACCACGGACCAGTCCAGGGAGGGTACGGCGCAGCTGTCGAGGGCGGGCACCACGGAGCAGGCCATGGAGGGCACGGCGGGGCAGGCGATGACGGGCACCACGGAGCAGTCCAGGAAGGGTACGGCGCAGCTGTCCAGGGCGGGCACCACGGAGCGGACCATGGGGAGCACCACGTAGCAGGCCACGGAGGGCACCAGGGCGGAGGGCCGAGGAGATAGTATCCTGGCACGTCCGTGTACTGGGGCAGAGGATCGAAGCCCGGTGGAGGTCGATGATCGAACGCCCACGGAGGCGGCGGGCCGAAGCTGGCCGCCCTCTGGGGGAGGCTGGTAGACCTCCGAGGCGGACTCGGGGCCCTTGGAGGTGGACTAGAGGCCCTCCGAGGTGAGCTGTGGCGCCTGCGAGGCGGGCTGTCCCGCCGCGACGGAGGGGCAGCCTCCACGTGCAACACTGATGGGACAGCGGAAAGCGTAGATCGCTCGAGCTCCCGAGGGCTCTCCTCGAAACGCCGCGCGATGGTGAGAAGGTCATCGACTGATGAGAACTTCTGGGCGGCCAGATGCTTCGAGATGTGGGGCCGAAACCGTGCCTGAATGGTACTCGCGATCTCAGCCTCGGAGAGAGCGCTGCGCTGCTTCTTGCCGACCCGCCAAAGCATGTGTTCCATCGCTGTGACGAAGTCAACGACAGACTCGGACTCGCCCTGCCTACGGCGAGCTATCGCAAGCCACATGTCAGCGACGGACACGTCCTGACGAAACCGGGC